GACATTATATCTATAGTAATTTTTGATGTTCAAAAATGAAAATTATCGATCTAGTAAACTCGTAAATGAATCGTATATTTATATACCAGATGAATCAATGATTTGTGATAATATTGTTAACTGTTAATAAAAAAGGCGTCTAGATAAATTTAGAAGAGGAAATAGAAGAGGACCAGGATACTTTGATTTCTTATGATTTAGGGAATGCAAACATGATATGATCATAAGTTGTGTCGAATAAATACTAAAATGAATTGATTAATATTACACTATTTGAAATTCTACTTTGTTTCTTTTTTATTAATTATGATATGATTCATGCTATTTATTCAACAAATTCGATTGATTGATACGGGTTGATTTTCTGTTACGAGCAATTGAGGAAACAATAGCCAGTCCGATAGCCGCTTCAGCGGCTGCAATAGCTATAACAAAAATTGAAAAAATATTTCCTTTTAATTGGCGATTATCAAAAAAATCAGAAAAAGTGACTAGATTTATATTCACTGCATTCAATATAAGTTCAAGACACATAAGGGCTCTAACCATATTTCGGCTCGTGATCAATCCATAGATACCAATAGAAAATAAATAGGCACTCAAAACAAGTACATGTTCGAGCATCATTGACCAACTCCTTATCAATTTTGATTCATTTCAATATGAACAACAATTCAACAGATTCAATTGACTAAAGAATATAACAAGTCTGCAACAAAAGAATATATTGGCAATAAAAAAAAAGAATTTCTACCTAAAAACTCTTTCACTTCACATTGAAAAAAAAAATACATATATATATATATATATAGTCTTGATTTATATTAGTAGTTCTCTAAAGATTTCTTACTGGCGAGCTACGACAATTGCACCTATCAAAGAAACTAAAAGAATTATTGAAATTAGTTCAAATGGAAGAAAAAAATCTGTTGATAAATGAATTCCAATTTGTTGACTAGTACTTATCAAATCTTGTTCAATAATCTGATTTGGTCTTGTAGTCCAAATAATTCTGTACCATGATGTATCTGAAATAATAGTTATTAGTGAAACAAAAATACTTGTACAAACTATCAAAGTAATTCCATCCCCTATGGTCCAAAGATGAAAATCTTGGTAATATTCGGAACTATTCATGAACATCACAGCAAATATGATTAAAATGTTAATAGCTCCCACGTAAATAAGTAGCTGTGATGCAGCTACAAAATGCGAGTTTGCTAAAATATATAAGAAAGAGATACAAACAAGAACCAATCCCAATGAAAAAGCAGAAAAAATGGGGTTGGTAAGTAATACTACTCCTAAACTTCCTAATATAAGACCCGATCCCAGAAAGACTAAAAGAAAATCGTGCAGCGTTTCAGGAAAATCCATTATATGTAAAAAAAAAAAAGACAAAGAAATCGAAATTTCATGACCTTATTGATATGACCAGGAAAAAATTGTTATATACTTAAATTTTTCTTTGCATTGAAAAAACCTAAGTAGTTTAAATTGATATAGTTACGGTTATATAACCAATGTCATTCCACTTAAACTACTCTTTATATGAAAGAGTAGTTTGAAACGATATTAAAACTAAAGTATAAAGGTAGATAGAACATATATAACCATTTGAACTAGTCTTTAAATTAAAGAATATTTCAAATTTCGATAATATATTTCTCTATTCTATTTAAGAATATATTTCTCTAATAATTAGAGAATATTTCTAATCCAATATCGATTATATGATTCATTTTTTATACAATTTTTGAAAATATTTTATTTCGATTATTCTATATATTCTATATATATTCTATATATATATAGAAATCTATATATATATATAGAATATTCTTTTTTTTTTAGAATTGTATTTTATTAAATTATAAAAAATTGTCTTTTTTTATTTGATTTGAATTGTTCGAATTGTATAATCATCAATTATTGACATTGGTAAACGGCCCAAAGCAATTTGATTATAATTCAATTCATGACGATCATAAGTTGAAAGTTCATATTCTTCAGTCATTGATAAACAATTTGTTGGACAATACTCAATACAGTTACCACAAAAAATACAGATTCCGAAATCAATACTGTAATTTAGCAATCGTTTCTTTCTAATATCCGTTTCCATTTTCCAATCAACAACGGGTAAATCTATAGGACATACACGAACACATACTTCACAAGCAATGCATTTATCAAATTCAAAATGGATTCGACCGCGGAAACGTTCTGATGTGATTAATTTTTCATAAGGATATTGAATAGTTACAGGTAAACGATTTGCGTGAGATAAGATAATCATGAAACTTTGACCAATGTACCTTGCAGCTCGGACTGTTTGTTGACCATAATTCATGAACCCAGTTACCATAAGGAACATATCGTAAATATCTATGAATAGTTTTGTTTTATTTCTTTCTCTTATTTGAGACAAGTAATGAATATAGAAGATCCATCTTTTACAACGAAAACAATTGAGACGAAGTTGTTAATAATAGATTACCGATAGAAATAGGTAAAAGAAATTTCCATCCAAGATTTAATAATTGATCCATTCTTAGCCTAGGCAAAGACCATCTTGTTATGATAGAAACAAATAAGAAAAAATAGCTTTTAGCTAATGTAATAAAGAGATCAATTGTAGTTCCAAAAACTCCGTATGTTTTATTTATTTCAAAAAATTCAGAAACAAATATGTACGGAATAGAGATATTTGAACCGCCCAAGTAAAGAACTGTTACAAATAATGAAGAAATTAAAAGGTTTAAATAGGAAGCAACGTAAAATAAACCAAATCTAATACCTGAGTATTCTGTTTGATAACCAGCTACTAATTCTTCTTCTGCTTCTGGTAAATCAAAAGGTAATCTTTCACATTCTGCTAGCGAAGAAATTAGAAAAACGATGAAACCCATAGGTTGACGCCACAAATTCCAACCCCAAAAACCATATTTTGCTTGCGCATCAACTATATCAACTGTACTTAAACTGTTAGATAATCCTAGTCGGTGATAACATTACTGTTCCCATCTCTATTACAGAACCGTACATGAAATTTTCACCTCATACGGCTCCTGGAAAGCCTTAAGTAAATCTAAGGACCGGGTCAATTATTTCTCTCTTGCTATATCCCTAAGATATAGAAGATGAAAATAGATCGAACGGTTCTGAATTAGACCAATTCAATTCTGTCTGTTCTAGAAATAACGAAATAAGAAAGAGAAATATAGTTTAATAAAAGATCCAATGTAAGGCACTTCTGAATTGATCTCATCCCTCAAAAATAAAAATTTGTTGAGTAATAACTGAATTCTTCAATAAAATACTCTTTTATAATTCTCAATAGCCCTCATGATTTTGAATTACAAAAAAGAATTAAACATTCGTTTCTTAATTATGATTTGATCTCCATGAATATGGATATGGATATAAGAAATCAAAAACAAAAAATAGATTTCTCTTTTGTTTTTGATTTCTTATGTTTTTTTTTTTCGTTCCTATTCTTCTTTTTTGTGCTATGAAAAAGGGACTTAAAAAATTTTAAAGGATTTTTTCGTTCCTGATAGTAATTTATTTAATGAGTGGATGGAAGCATACTCTGGATCGGAGTTGTGGGGAGTACTGCTTTATTTTTTCTACCAACTTAAAGCCCCAATTAGTATTCTTTTTATATTCTGCGTAAATTGTCTTTTGGATAATTTACAAAATCTGTGTTACTAATCCTTTGTGTATCTTGGTGTTTCTAACCATCCACTCTTTTTTATTAATCCCCCTTATTTATTTTAATATATCTATGAGAATTCATAAAAATGGTAACTAAAACTCAATAAGGTTGGTCTTTAGAGCCCGCTTCAAAACAGGATGACAAATTATCCAATCTTGGGTTAAATGGCCTCTTCTGTTTATAATTTTATTTCATTCTTATACATAGAAAATGAGACTCAATATTTTTACTGCCATTAAAAATCATCATACTATCTATTAACTAGAAGTAAGAAAGTATTCTGAAATTCTATTCAATATAAGCTGTTTTATTTCACTCATATAACTATCTAATTTAGTTCTTCAATCGGAGAAAAATAAAGATAATGAAGGTTTCTATTCAATTGATTCGCCTCCTTTCCTGTATAGTACTATAAAGAGAGGAGCATAGCAATAGCATCGAATAACTTTTTTGGTTTCAACGAATCGCACGTAGAGATATTGATAAGACACATAGAGTTAATGGTATTTCATAACTAATCGATTGAGCAGCAGCTCGTAGACCACCCAAAAAGGAATATTTATTATTTGAGCCATATCCTGACATAAGAAGTCCAATGGGAGCAATACTCGAAATAGCAATCCATAAAAAAACACCTATCTTGAAATCAGATAAAACAAAGTTATAGCCAAAGGGAATTACTGAATAACTTATTAGAATTGATATTATTGATATGGATGGTCCAATACTGAATAAACGAATATCTCCCCTAGATGGAATAAGATTCTCTTTGAATAGTAGTTTTGTTCCGTCTGCTAGAGCTTGAAGAATTCCAAAAGGACCAGCGTATTCAGGTCCAATACGCTGTTGTACCCCTGCTGATATTTCTCTTTCTAACCATACAATTGCTAGTACACTTATTGTGATTCCCAAGATAAGAATCAAAATTGGTACAAGTATCCATAGAATTCCATAAACCTCTTTGAAAGATTCCAATCCGGAAAAGGAGTTTATATCTTGGACTTCCGTTGTATCAATTCTCATTTCAACGATCAACTTCTCCCATAATGATATCTATGCTACCTAGTATTGTCATAATATCAGCCAATTTCATTCTTTTAACTAATTGAGGAAGAATTTGCAAATTGATAAAACCAGGTGGAAGAATTTTCCATCTCCAAGGAAAACCATTCTGATCTCCTATTAGAAAAATTCCTAATTCTCCCTTGGGGGCCTCAACTCTCACATAAAGTTCTTGTTTCGGCAATTCAAAAGTAGGAGACGATTTTTTACCAATGAATCAATATTCAAAATCATTCCATTCTGGCTCCTTTTCTCTATCAAAGCAGCGGATTTCAAAATTTTCATAAGGCCCCCCTGGAATTCCTTCCAAAGCCTGTTGAATTATTTTTATGGATTCCACCATTTCACCAATTCGAACTAAATAACGAGCTAATGAATCTCCTTCTTTTTGCCATTGAACTTCCCAATCCAATTCCTCGTAACACTCATAATTATCAACTTCACGTAGATCCCATTGTATTCCGGAAGCCCGAAGCATCGGTCCTGATAACCCCCAATTTATAACTTCCTCTCTACCAACAAAACCTACTCCTTCAACCCGTTCTAAAAAAATTGGATTTCGCGTAATAAGTTTTTGATATTCAATAACCCTTGTTAAAAAATAATTGCAGAAATCAAAACATTTATCTATCCAACCATAAGGTAGATCAGCGGCTACCCCCCCAATACGAAAAAAATTATGCATCATTCTCATACCTGTCGCAGCTTCAAATAGATCATATATTAATTCTCTTTCTCTAAAAATATAGAAAAAAGGGGTTTGTGCACCAATATCTGCCATAAAAGGTCCCAACCATAGTAGATGAGAAGCTATACGACTTAACTCCAACATAATTACTCGTATATAGCTGGCTCTTTTAGGTACTTGAATATTTCCCAATTGTTCCGGCCCGTTTACAGTTATTGCTTCTGTGAACATAGTCGCTAAATAATCCCAACGTGTTACATAAGGCATATATTGTATAATTGTTCGGTTTTCCGCTATTTGTTCCATACCTCTGTGTAAATAACCCAATATTGGTTCACAATCAATAACATCTTCACCATCCAGAGTAACAATAAGTCGAAGAACACCATGCATCGATGGGTGTTGAGGCCCCATATTTACTATCATGAGGTCTTTTCTTGTAGCTGGGATATTCATAGGTTTTTCCTCGATTCATTCTTCCATGAATCGTTCAAAAAAAAAAGTTCATCAAAATTCAGTATCTAATAAATCGAATAATTGAAAATGATTCTTTAAATTACCTAATTTGTGAATCCCGAATACCCAACCGATTTATTAAATTTTGATAACGTATTTTGTTTTTCTTTGACAAATACGACAATAGTCGTTTCCGTTTTCCCAGAATTATACGTAAACCTCCTTGAGATAAATCGTCTTTTGGGTGTAATTTAAAATGTGAAGTAAGTCTTTGTATTTTATTAGTGAAGTTGAATACTTGAAATTCAACCGATCCCGGGTTTTCTTCTTCTTTTTTTTTTTGTGAAATAACAGGTATAAATGAATTTTTTATCATAAAATGAAAGCTTTTCTTTCCCCCTCCTTTTTGGTAGATATTTTTATTGATCAGTAATAGTAATGACACTCATTTTGAATTTTTTATATCAAATTTTACCTTAATTTATTTAACAATTTTCACAATTCTGAATTTTTTTTTTCAAATTCCTTATTAAGGAATGTAATTCAAATAGAGAATAAATACTATATTTATGTATTCAAAAAATAAAAAATTCTATTGTCTTGTATTTAAAAAAAAAAAAAAAGACAATTTTGATTTATTCATTTTTCTATTGATTTATTTCTATCTAATGGAGACATCATTGAAGTCGTATCAATCCCACAATGCGTGTGCGCGTTTATTTTATTTATTGCAATTATCAATTATATATAAATATAAATATATATATATATATATATATATATATATATATATATATATATATATATATATATATATATATATATATATATATATATATATATATATATATATATATATATATATATATATATATATATATATATATATATATATATAAATAAATATTTATTTATATATATATATATGTTCACATATCAGATATCAGATAGATATCTGAAATATTATGATAATGATAAATAGAACAAAAATCTAGATTTTCAATCGAGGATACATATGTATTCTTAATATACTGAAACGGCTTCCATTATGTGTATCAAACCAATAGCGGTTCATACAAGCTAAATCTTCGAATCGATAATTTGGCCAAAGAAAGAATTTTAAAGTCATTAGTTTTTTTGTATCGCTATCAATATCTTCATTTTGAGTCAAAACTTCAGAAGAATTATTTCGTTTTTTCTCAGTGTCATTTATTGTGTTTCTATGCACAGTATTTCTATTCTGTGGGTTCAAACAAATTAGAATTCTCAATTCTCTACGGCGTCTAGTGGACAAAAGATTTTCAGGAACAAGTAAATCATAGTTTCTTTTCAAAATTTTACGTTTGTGCCTCAATGATATGCTTATGCTTTGATATATAAAAAATTGTTCATAGTTTTTTCTAGAAATACGAATAGGTTCAATAAAAAACATTAGGTTGTCCCTCAATTCCTATGTGTCCCTACATTCTGTATAACAAGTGTCCTTCATCTGCAGACGCGCCGTAATTTCAAAATCGAGGTCTGCCTTTTTTATAGACATTATGAAAAATTGTTTTAGATTTTTCAATCTAACCAGGAGACAATATAAGTTGATATTATCCATTAGTGTTTCTTGGACGGGAGTCTTACAGTGCAAATAAAAACCAAAATATTTATCTAGTAAGAAATTTTGTTCGCCATTTAGATTCTTCCTGTATCTAGTTATACTATACCGAGTGTCCCTATAATAGTTTGAGAGATATGATTTGAGATCTGCTTGCTTCCCGTATTCTTTCTTTTCTAACTTTAACTTGGCTACATCAGTAATGTTTTTGTTTCCATAAAACTGCACAAAAAAGAAATTCATTGGTAAGATCCAAGGATTCTTCTTATATGCACTTAATTTTGAAAAGAACCCAAATCTCGGAGTCAATAATTTCTGATTCGTTTTGGAATTCTTTTTTCTTTTTCCCATCCAATTTAGATACTTTCTATTCAGATTTTTTTCCATTGTTTCCATATCCATATCTATAATACCATCTTCTGCTATATAATTTTGGATAAAGCTATCGCCCATTATATCAAATAATTCTTTTTTATTTTTAGGTATGTTGTAATTAATCGTTTGGTTTTTGTTTGCTTGCAATGGTGATTTATATCCATAAATATAGGATTTTTTGTTATCTGCATAATTTATATATTGATAGGAGAAAAGATCATATCCATATTGTTTTTTTTTTTTTTCTAATAAATCTACTTGTTGTTTTTTTTGTTTTTTGTAAAAAATGAATTGGTTTTTTTCAGATGAATCATATTCAACTAAATTTTTCTTTTGAGCCACGCGATGTTCATGGATTCTCTTCCTCCACTTTTGTGGTACTAATTTTGACCATCCGCTCTAAGGTAAAGCATATTGATAATGAACCTTTAACCAATTTATCCATTGATTCATTATAGAATCGGGACGGTTCTTATGTCTTAATTTGGAATTTAATCTTCCTCCTTGTATTCTAAAAAAATAATCTTTTATTTCATTCTTAAGAAACAAAGATCTTCCATGAGATTCAAAAATAGATCTTAACTTATATTTATATCCATTACTAACTTGTGATAATTTAAAAAATACATAGGCTTGTGACAAAGAAGATACATCACAAGAATTCTGTGAATTCATATCTGTAATATTCCAAGATTTGTCTATAATCGACATAAATGGAATTATACTTTCATTTGTTTTATGAACTCTTTGTTCATTTTTTTTTAGTGTAAATGGAAATAAATACATTTACAATTTTGTCTGTTAATTCAATAATATTAAGAAAACGTTGTCCAGACATCATAATAATACGAGTGATAGAGAAAACGATCTCTATGTATATCCTTCCCATTAAAATTTGAAAAAAAAAATAGGATTTACGGATTAATCGAACGGTTCTTCTTTTTAATATTTTCAAACTATTTTTTAGTAATTCTAATCTTTTAGCATCATAAGTAGTTTTGGTAGAATTCAAATTAATCTCTAAAGTTATAACCCCCTCTTTTTTTTCTTCTGTCATTTTTTCTAGTTGTTTTAAGATTGTCTTTGTTTTAACATTAAGATCTTTTATCCTTTTTTCTGTGAAATTTGTCCAATTCATAGATTGAATTAGAACGGGCGATTCCTCAATCATTGGATTACTCTTACTGATTGTTGAATTTTTTTTGCTTTCACTCAATTCATCTCTTTTTTTGAACCTATTTTCGATTTCTTCTAACACGATTCGAGACCCCTTTTTTCTTTCATTAAAAACTTTTAGAACTAGAAAAAAACGATTTTTCAAATCTTTTTTCAATTGTTTTTTTATTTTTTTAAAAATGGGACCCAAAAATAAAAAAGGGTTTGGGACATGATCATCAAGGTACGATTCGACTTGTGTTCCATAACCTGTTAAAAACCATAAGTTTTTTTCTTTCAGTGGATCTTTTTTTTTTTCAGTAGATTTTTTTTTTCCAGTAGATCGTACCTTATTGTGCCACGGTTTCAGAACAAAAGGGAATAAGATCCTTATCTGAATACCCTCCCAGAACCAGTTTGTTGGCAACACGGTGTGAGATACTGGAACGCCCTGATAGGTGCAGTAAATATGGACTTCTTTTCTCCAATCCCTCAAATCTTCTGACCATTCAGGATTTTGAAATAATAGTATACGAATGATATTTTTTGTGATTATCAATGAAGGTAATAGAATATATTTTCTAAATATTGATTGGAATAGTAATACAAAACTTCTGATTATTAGACCATAGAGAATGCTCTCCCAGGCTTCTTCGATTTGTCTAAGTCTTATTTCAGACTCGTCTTTGTTTTCCTCTATCTCTTTCTGTTCTATCGTTTTCTCAAACGCCAAAAATTCCGAATTATCAGTACCCGGTTTCCTGAAATATTCTTTCAAATATTGGGAGATATCATAGACAAGATCACCAAACAAGAACGCGTAGTCGCCCATTATCTCCAAAAAAAGAGGGGAGTGTGCAGTTCCTTGAAAGAGTTTATAAGTTACTGTTTTACGCCTTTGAGGGCGCATAGATCCTCTGATTAGGTCTCGGCAATAATCTGGTTCGCGTGAATAATGAACTACAGCAAATTCAGTATTTCTGTCCGGTTCAGCACTATTCTGATTGTCATTAGAATCTGTTTTACTATTAAAAAGAACTATACGGTCAGCTTTTGGGGAACGAATCTGAGACTCCTTTGGACTCGCGTCCATCAATACCGCCAATTCGTCGACTAAGTCGTATGACCATCGAGGAACTTCTTTACTTATTTCGTTTATTTCACTACATAGTTTTCTATTAAAAATTGTATTATTAGTAGGATCAGTTCGAATTGCGTCCAATAATAATTTTCTTTTTGTTTTTTTTTCTTCGGAATATATTTTTACTTGTTCATGTTCTGGAAATAAATAAAGTCCGTCAAAATTCAAACTTGATACTGATTTTTCCGAAAATTTACTGATTAAGTTAAAAAAAAAAACCAATTTCATTTAATAATAATTTTCTATCAAATTGATCTATTTTCTGTTCAAATTCTGGATCATTACTATTAATAGAAAGAAGGAGACCATGAATCTTATTTATCAAAATGTAGTTTGTTGTGTCAGTTTCATTTGGAATGAAGGGTGAAAAGCCTTTTTGGATTTCTCCACGAATGCGTCCATTCAAGAAAGGATCATATATTTTAGTTAAGTATTTTGTTTTCCTATTATCATCAGACAATCTAATTCGATTTTCAAATACATCCACAGGACTAAATTTAATAGATTTATTATCTATCATTTTTGCCCTTTGAAAAAATTCATTGATTAGTTTATTTCCTTTTTCTTTATTAACAGAGCTCCAATAATTAGACAATTCATTATCATTATAGGAGGTTTTATCTCTTCTGAAGAGATCCATTTTTTTTTCCATGATTTTCAGAAAAGTAGATAAATGAGGTGGATACGTGAAAGATATTCGTTTTTTTCCATCACTTTGACATACCT